GTGCTCATTGTGAGAACTTGTATTGTTTCTATCATTTCGTGGAAGAATACCACATGTGCTCTTAAACCGTAAGATCCTCATTCCTTGATGCAAGCTCTAGAAACGGTTATCCTCATAATAAAAGTTTTCAAAAGGAACCAGAAATGGAGAATCGGCCGCCTTCCGTTGGCAAATAATCAAAGAACTAGGTAAAATGGCCAAGCAGAAGTTTTTTGGGGCTCATATCAAGTGTTTTGAACAAAAGCAAAAGTTTTCAAGAGTCAAGGATTCCAACATGCGACCTCGTGTCTCTGAAGCAGTGCGCTTATCCACTAGGCCATCGGCCGCTTGCCGCATGCAGTTATCGTTCTCAACTTGTGCAAACAGAGCAAAGATTAAATGGTCCGTAACTCCCTTCAGAGAACCGCAATTCGGAGGGCAGATTTGGATTGAGCGGCTCAAGACACGTTAATATATTAGGTTGTTCGGAAAGAAATGAGTGTAAAAATAATATGAGTGTAATATGAGTGTAAGAAACTTCTTATTATAAAAACGAAATTAAACAAGATCAATTCAAAAGATAATCTCCATTACTATCAATGACTTGTTGCCAACGTTTATGCAAAGAATGGATTCCTCTTTCGAAGAACTCGGCCGGCTGCGACTCAAAGTAGTTGGACACCCAGAGTTGGACTTCTTCGCGGTTTGTGAACTTTCTCTCGGCCAGGGAGTGCTGCATCGACCGGAACAGATGGTAATCGGATGGTGCCAGGTCTGGGCTGTATGGCGGATGAGGCAGGACTTCCCAGCCCAATTCCTCAATTTTTTCCAAAGTGATTTTCGCGACATGTGGACGAGCGTTGTCGTGGAGGAATTTTGTCGACGTCGTTTCGACACCTTGACGACGCAGTGCTTGATCCACGCGGTTCAATTGATCTTTGTAGATGTCCGCCGTAACTGTTTGACCCGAATCCAGTACTTCAAAGTACACCAAACCTTTGCTGTTCCACCAAACAGAGCATCACCTTTTTGCCGTGTATATCCGGTTTCGGAGTCGGTTTTGGAGTGTCACCGGCGTCTAACCACTGTCTTTTTCGCGTTGCGTTGTCGTAGCAGATCCATGTCTCATCTGATGTAACAATAGAGTCGAAGAAACCGCTGTTCTTGGAGCGACGAAGAAGAATTCCGGCCATTGCCACTCGTGTTGCCTTGTTTGCGTCGCTCAGCTGGTGCGGCACCCATTTTCCGCACCTGTTCGTCTTGCCAATTGCCAGCAAATGTTCATGGATGGTAGAGTTTGAGCAGCTAAAATGTGTTGCCAGTTCTCTGGTGGTTTGGCGTGGATCCAATTCAATGACGGACTTCAACACTTGGTTATCAACGACTTGAGACCTACTTCCATGTTCTTCGTCCTCCAGGCTTTCATTACCGTTTTTGAAACGCTGGAACCATCGTCGACACTGGCTTTCTGACAGGGCTTCTTCGCCGAATACCTCAGATAGGGCACGATGAGATTCAGCAGCCGATTTGCCTTGCTTGAAGTCGTACCACATGCAAGCTCGCATTCGAAATTTTTGGTCAAGCATTTTCTAAACTTTTTTTCTCTAAAAAAACAAGGTAGACATAGAAAAAATATATCAAAAGATGCGCAATAAAAATCTCTCTCTAATAGGACAAAACTGTTTTGAAAAATCTTCTATAGTAGGAGAGAAATAAATGGACAAAGTCAACGCGCATTTCTTTCCGAACAACCTAATATATGCATCTCATTGCAAATGGCCGGATGTTGGAGGAGTTCCCTTGTTAGTTAACTGGCTGCTGTCCGTCTCGTGACCTTTCGTCGAGAGACAGCTGAGCCAAATATAGCACTGAAAGCTGTGGACAAAATTTATAATAAACGCAAGAGATGTGAAAGAATTTGGATACTTCGATAAGTATATAAATAAAGATCGCAATAAATTAAAAGGATAGAACTGAAGACACACGCACTTGCTATGAAATGTAGCAGTTTAAAAGGGTGAAAGCGTATGCAAAGAAAATGCCTGTAAAAACTAAACTGAGTCAGCACAGAATGCGCCCCAAAATTTTTACCTTTGGTATGTAAATTGGTTTGTTTTGAATGTGTTTTGCATTGTAATTGCTGCTCGCCTACAGGCAGGTTAATTCGTTTATTATGATGTTTCGTTTCGTACTTACGATTGACCTTGATCTTTTCAGTCAGCCTCACACCTAATGAAGAAGGTCACAATTAATGAGTTTTCAAGTGAGCTGACTACCAAAAACCTCTATCAGTGCCGGTTTTCGTATTCTACATGATTAGAGTATGAGAGTATGAATCAAGGATCTCATACCGATAGCAATCACCAGCTTCCCTGTTCCCACCGGTCCCTAGTTTTTCCTGATCTCGACCAGTATCATTCCGCTACCCTTTGTACACATGTTCCTTTCCATCTGTTCTCTCGAAGCGACACTAGGCAAATATGTATGAGCTCATAAGTCCTTCAGTATCTTTATATTGTTGTGATCTAACAAGGAAAAGACATAGGTCGAGGTGGTCTTTCGTGATGAGGCCTATACAGTCAAATGCTTTCTCTGACGATGACCTAAAATCTTCTTCAAAATCTTCCGAGCTTTTGTCTGAACTTTTTACTCTTCATTTCAAAATGGCTTTTCTCTTGTTCGAAGGCTTTGCTTCTCTCATTTTACATTTATTCACATAGAAGCACGCTTATAGTAGAGGTGTGGATGATCCCAATGAGGCGCCATAGAGCAATTTTAGTGTGTTCACTTCACCTCATAGGCAACCAGGGTACGTAATCGTTGGGCATTCCCCAACGCAGGGAGGTCGTTCATGGTTATTGGGACGTGGGTCGTATTTGGTCCGGCAAGGGAATGGTTTGAACTTCCCATGGAACTTTGAATGGAGACCTAGGTACATCGATAGAGCCTCGAATGCTGATTACGAATATGCAGATTAAAAGTGCTACGGGGACCTCCTAGACGAGTGGGCGGTCAGACTCTGCGAAAACTCACTTGGCTGCTGATCATTGCTAGGCAGTGCCACCGTGGCCTAGTGGTAACGGTCTCGCTTCAAAGGAAAATGCTTGTGGGTTTGCATCCCGTTGGCGCGAAAGTTTTGCTTCGTCTCCTATGAAAGCTTACTCTAATTTTCAAAATTCTTCCGAGTTTACGACCCAGCAGAGCAAGTAGATCAAGTAGATCAAGCATATGACGTATCGAGTATGGATTTGGTCACTATCTGCCCTCTCTGAACTCATTACCCATCCGACAATTCGAAGTTTTGGCCAGAAACTCGTTCCTGGGGTATTTTGACCCCCTGAGCACGAATATCACATCCGTTTGACGCGAAAACGATCGGTTCCCTCGTTCAGTTGATGATCACAACAACGTGAAAGCAAGCGTTTTCTCGTCAAACGAATGTGATATTCGTGTTCAGGGGTCAAATTACCCTCAGGAATCAGTTTCTGGCCGAAACTTCGAATTGTCGAATGGGTAATGAGTTCAGAGAGGGCAGATAGTGACCAAATCCATACTCGATCGAGTACGTCATATGCTTGATCTACTTGATCTACTTGCTCTGCTGGGTCGTAAACTCGGAAGAATTTTGAAAATTAGAGTAAAGCTTTCATAGGAGACGAAGCAAAAATTTTCGCGCCAACGGGATGCAAACCCACAAGCATTTGCCTTTGAAGCGAGACCGTTACCACTAGGCCACGGTGGCACTGCCTAGCAATCGATCAGCAGCTCTTACGAGCCAAAACTGAGTTTTCGCAAACTTTGACCGCCCAGAACTCGTCTGGGAGGTCCCCGTAGCACTTTTAATCTGCATATTCGTAATCAGCATTCGAGGCTCTATCGATGTACCTAGGTCTCCATTCAAAGTTCCATGGGAAGTTCAAACCATTCCCTTGTAGGATTTTTTTATTGATGTTTGATTTTTCTTGTTTGACAGACCTTATAAGGAGGTCGTTTTTGCACTTTGCAACCTTGGCCCAGTAATATTGAGTAATAGATCAGTAGAGTCCTTCGGCCGTTGTGATGTAATAGGCAAATCAAGCTAAAAATCCGGAGTCAGCGAGAAACCAATTAATATTTAGAGGCGGTCCCACAGGCGAATGTGCCAAGGGGCATGATGGTTATGAAGCGAGAATCTTTTAAGAACGCCACACCCCATATGAAGGTCCCTCCTCGCTTAGAATTGCAGTACAACACCATGCAACAGGGGACGCATTGGAAAGAAACTGCTGGTGGGAAATGGAGGTCATCACCAGAAATGAATAGTAAAGACGAACTACAAATGGTTAACTGAGTGTGTGAATGGTGCCATGCAGTTGTGATATCAGATATAGTCACCGTCACTACGCGCCCACTACTATTCGAGAGGGCTGAAGCTGGTAGCATTATAAAATAACAACGAGCATGTATACATGGCAAAAACAGAGCTAGGAACTACGGACCGACATATGTACCAGACATTTTTAGTTATTCTGTGCTTGTCTACGTAAAATTTATAAGCGGTTACAGTCAAACATACGATTGCCATAAAGTTGTAAAATACCTTTCTCGACGCGGTCAGCAAAGTCATTCTTCAGGCATACCTGGTTTTTTCGACGATGACCTTCAGTTGGCCCATGCTGGATGTATTTCACTGAAAGTGCACTCATTTCCTAAGGCCTCGCTTAGACTTAGCAGCGATCCATTTAATGTAGCATTGGAGCGTGATCGAAACCATACGCTCATGCGAGCGATCACGTCATGCGCGTGACCGGAACGCTGCCGTAGCGAAGTTTGGTTGCTGCCTACTAGATATGATGACGTTACTTGTTGACAGTTATTACCTGTTTAACCAAATGTAAAAGCCTGCGGGACTGTTAGGTTTAAACTGCTCCGACCTGGTAGCTCATAACTCTAAGCGGCAGCTCCGGTCAAATTTATGCTTCATAACAACACCATTTTAGGCTAGGTTACAGCGAGGTAATGTTCTTCTGAAGCAAGGAGATATGGATGCCGCAGAGAGCGACTTCAGTGCAGTGGTAGTGTTCTTTTGAAGAAGCAATCGATTTATTGTGATTCGTTCCTATTCAGTTAGCCGTAGAGCCACGGAACGCAGAAGCTGCTGCCAAAACAGAACTGATCGCTGACTTGCGGCAATATCTTCATCAAGCCAAGTCGTACATTGAACGTAAAGACTGTCCTTCTGCTGAGCACTATTTGAACAAGGCCGTTGAGGTAGGGTGACTTGTGCGATGCGAGACTTCTGATGAGTAGTTGTACAAAATGGTACTGAAGCATCTCGTCTGGGATCCATCGCTTTATCGACTCCGAGCCAAATGTTTGGAATCACGCGGAGAAATCAGAAAGGCCATCGCTGATATGCGAACACTCACGAAGTTATTGGCAGACGGTACGGAAGATTACTTGAGGATCTCACAGCTCTACTATGAAATCGGTGATGTTGAAGAGTCCCTAACGTAAGTTTTTGACTCCTTTTGTAGTCTTATGTTTTTAACTCCATCATGGTGTCCCTATTCTAGCCAAATTCGCGAGTGCCTCAAGCTGAATCCTGATCACAAAGAATGCTTTCCTCTCTACAAACGAATAAAAAAACTCGCAAAAATGAGAGGCATATTAATTTTTACTTGTTTTTTTTTCTTTTTTCTAATTATTTATTCCTTTTTCTTCGTGTTTTAGAATCCTTGAATGAGGCAAAGAATCGCCAAGACTGGATGGCATGTTTGGAAAAGGGTCAACAAATTCTCAAGACCGAAGCCAAAGTAGCTGACATTCAGTTGGATACATACAGACATCTCTGCAAATGCAATATGGAGGTCCGTATGATGCTTAGGTTTCTAATTCATATAAAACGTTTACACTTGACAAGAGTCTACGAATCTCACCGAGAGGATACGTGTAACTTAACACGACATTGCGTCCCACTGCTGGGACGCACCTTTTTTGCCGCGTGGGACATTGCGTCCCACTGCTGGGATGCGGCATGGGTAAAAAACCAATTTGAAGACGTTTCGAATTTTCAACAGCTGCATGTTGTCCATGAAGGCATTGTAGAATATACAGTAGCTGTAAACCGTGCAGTTGTGTCATTGAGAGTATTTTACCGAGGAGACAAACGAAAGTGATTTCCTAGGAAAAAAAAGATAATTCTTGGATATATAGAACTGAAGCTCCACATGCAGATAGCTAATGTGATAAGGTAACTTTCAACAATAGCAGATCTGAATCGAATCCAATTTACCACCTCTGGCGCGAAAATATTCCTTTTTTGCGACCTGTTCCCACGCTCCACGTGAATGAGGTAAACAAGAATAGCGAAGCTTCACTAGCTTCTGCAATGAATTCTGACCATTCTTCAATTTTTTTGGCGTATAAACGCTCTAGCATTTATGCGCATTGTTCGAAAATAGGGAAAAACTGCTTTGTCCCACGCGGCGGACACGTGAAAATTGGCCTTGTCGCCAATGTGTTAATTGGGTTAAACGAAACATGGTTCAAATTGCCCCCTCCCCGCCCTCCTGTCAGCGCCACGATCGCTTATGACCCTTTCCCTCTGCGCCCCGCCTTCTACTTTTCGAGTTGTATGCGTGGCCCCAAACCCCGGTCTTGTGTGAATAACCTCGATAAACGGTGCTGCCTGCTGGCCTTCTTCTGTTCAACAGCAAAACTCACTGAACCGCCATATTTTGATGCTCCACCAAGTCATAGTCTCTACTATTCTCTAGTCAGTTTAAGACCAAAATTCTTTGACTGGAAACCACAGCTCGTAAAAAGAGCTCAGAGTCGATCTCAATCGACGCCTCCTCTGCAACAAAAAGAAAAAGAGAAGGAAATGCTCTCCGTATTAATTACCAGGAGCCACCTTTTCGCGAAATAACGGCGAATCCCTTCAGCAAAGGAGAATGTATGCAGAGTTACAGTATTCATTACCAGGAAACCTTTTCTTCGTAAAACGAGCCTCTCAAGTAGAACAAATCGTCTGAATGCAGCAATACTAAAGGCAAAACTCTTGCACAGCCAAGGTTACCACAATGTTGAAATTAAAGATGGCTCTGCATTTCCACAAGACACCCATTGTTTTGAGCGCAATAACGCCAAAAAAGCTGGTCATTAGGTAGCGTTAGCGTAGAACACGTAGAGTCCATAATACAAGCGCTCCGACGACGGAAATCATTGATAAGTCTCGATCCACGAAAGCACTTTTGAGAAGTGGAATCCAACTTATCAGAGAAGGCAGGGAAGACCTCTAGAAGTAGTACAGCGAGGTAGAAGAGTAAAAAATAAGTCAGATGAAAATGATACGATGCTCGAAATTGAGCAGATCGAAGAGGAGTCTCAATGGCAACCGACGATGGCCGACTCCAGTGTTTTAATATTCATGCTCACACCTCGGCTAGATAAATCAAGATGGACATACAACAGGATAGGCATCAACCTAGATTATATCACCTCAGAACTCAAGCACAGCATGAGTCAGAATTTCAAAGCGGTCAGAAAGAAGATTCTGAGGAAAAATTGCCACATGCATATGACTCACATGCTTTGGTGAACTTTACCACAGTTGTTAGATTTGTCCATCAGTGAAGGGAAAGGTTAACGTAACGAGACGAGAACATTCCCGGAAACAGGCTTCTCCACACAACCGAGCTGGTTTGTAAGGTATCAGAATGAAGAATATGCCTTCAAATGGCATATACTTGGCTTATTTCCACTGCTAGACACACAGGAACGCGAATGAATAGAAAGCTGAGAAATGCAAAAAATTTGCCACAAGGAGGATCCGATCCCGTATCGTCGTCCCATCCAGAATCCATCGAGTTATCCGCTGCGCCATCCGATCCGCCGACAGTGAGCATGAGGGGACCGCTGACAAAAACATCACTGTTGCGTCGGTGCAGGCGTGTATTTACATGATACTTGCATTTTGATTTTATTTGATCGCATATCTGCAGCACTTCACAATACAGTTCAGTAGCGTGTACTTACGCCGAGATTTGCATCAACCTCCCCGGCGGAAGGAAAACCGTGACCCACCAGAACAGTTAACACAACTTTCCCACCTAAAAAACATCTTCAAGCAATGATGTCCCTTTAAGACAAATATCCTGACACGATCCGAAAAGATGGTGTCGAAAAATAAATGTCGTATTCTACCTATTCTATACTCTTATGTCCATGAATCCCATAAATAAGTAAGTAATGGAAAAAATTAAATAACGCGGCAGCAGGATATCGATTGCTGACGGTACTGAAACGTTTAAAGACACATGGTACGCTCAAACACATTGAGGGTGTATGAGACTATCAGCCCCCCAGCTGTCGATGTGTCGTGGTCCCCCCGCCCAAAACTGCACGGGGTCAGAGTACGGGGCCGTGGGAAAGTCGTAATTCCTTGCTACACCGCCCTCACGTTTATGCTAACACGTGCAGCTCTCTTGGCTTTTTGCCAAGTCCTGTAATTGCGCTTTGGAATACAAGTACAACGCAATTTCTTTATGCGGATAACATTTTAGGTGCTGCAAAATAAGAACCGAAGATGATGACGAGGGCTAGAACTCAAGAGCAACTGTGGTGCTTCTGCAATATCCCTCAGAGGCCGCGCATTCCCACAGAACATGACAATAAAAACGGACAACATGACAATAAAACATGACAATACAAGCAAAACGCAATTTCCTAACATTTGAGGTATTGCTCATGCTTCAAAGTCCGAATAGAAGGTGATGAAGATGACAAAGGCTAGAAATGAACAACAACGAATGTAGATGTAAATAAAACAAAATTGAAAAAAACTAAGGAAACGCAATAAATTAAAATCGCGTGTGCATTTCTGCGATCCGGCTCGAATCCGGCTCTAATGCTATAGAAATACTTCAAACGAGTGGGACGCTTAGGCCGTTTTTATTTTGATGTTTTGTGGGAATGCGCGGCCTGCGAGGGCTGTTGCAGAAGCAGCACAGTTGCTCTTGAGTTCTAGCCCTCGTCATCATCTTCAGTTCTTATTTTGCAGAACCTAAAATGTTATCCGCATAAAGAAATTGCGTTGTACTTGTATTCCAAAGCGCAATTACAGGACTTCAAAAAGCCAGAGCTGCACGCGACCGCGCCGCGCGGACGGTGTTAGTAAAAACGTGAGTTTGCAAAAACGGGCGGCGTAGCAAGGAATTACGACTTTCCCACGGTCCCGTACTCTGACCCCGTGCAGTTTTGGGCGGGGGGACCACGACACATCGACAGCTGGGGGGCTGATAGTCTCACACCCTCAATGTGTTTGAGCGTACCATGTGTCTTTAATGGAAAACATCAATAGAGCGCAGTTGTTGGCGCAGGCAGGGTTCTGAGGTCTTTTCGAGAGGTTATAGCTTTTTTAGATGTGGGGCTTTCGAGAAATGGGAAGCGGCATGCTGAAGCAATGTTCCTACTGTTGCGTTTTCTACCTACTGCAATCTGAATGTTTCCCCGTTCGTGAAATATTTTGGATGGGTTATGGGTTAGGGGTTGGATCGCGAGCGGGTTTTTATGCTTTACACGAAGATTACTTATTTCAAACGCAATTTCATCAGAACCAAAACCGTCTTCAGAGCGCCCTATCTTTTCTCTTTCCAACAAGCTTTACAGTTTTCCTGAAGACCCGCTAGTTCAGGAGATATTTTAGATGGGTTACGAATGCGCAACATGCTGAGCCACTTAAAAGTTCAACTCCTGTGCCATTGTGAGGATACACATCTGAAACTTCAATGTGCCTTCAAACACATATTCCCGTTCAAATGAGTGAAAGAGCTTGGTTATCATCGATCGATTTGGTCCGAGTGTGCGCCGTGCATTACGCTTCTACGCAGAGGTGGTGGAAAGGTGTAACTTCTAATTCATGATTTTTGTCCATGCAAGCAGATGTTTGTTCAGGGTTTGGGAAAGGTCGATACGCACGAATCTGTTTGAGATGTATTGTTCAGTCATCTATGTACGAGTTCATGCTAACTATTGATATTGCTAATCAAGGGTTTGCTATTTTGTAGTCTTCCTTACATCCGGGTCCTCTGCAGCTTTCCGTCCGCTCCATCAAACTTAGCGATGACACTTTTGTGCTGTTGATGCTCACCGACCCTGCGTTTGCGACCCTAATCCCTGCGGCCAAGGCGACCCCCTTCCTCCCTCCCAGTGGGTTTTGGCACAACGATGGATAATTGATGAAAAAGATATACCCATTACTATGTCATGTGTTTGTAAACATCACCACTTTCATAGCTCCACTTCTATTAGGTTGTCCGGAAAGTTCTCAGGTTTTGTGTTACTATTTTTTGTACATTCATTGCTGATTAAAAACTCATTCTCCCTTGCGTCTCAGTAGTACATCCTGAAGAGAATTTTTTGCGCTATCTGATGGTATAATTGCCGTTTCACCATTGCTTGATAAACCCCCTTTTCCCAAGACTTTTTGAAGCATGTCAAAAGAGCAACTTCGGACGATATTTTTCTTCAAGGTCAATCCGCAGTCGAGACAGCTCGACAAATTAACCAGGTGTGGGGGCCCAATAGTGTTGGAGAAAGCACCGTGCGACAATGGTTCGACAAATTTCGTTCTGGAGATTTCAGCCTTGAAGATGAACCTCGTAGCGGTCGACCTAAAGCAATACCTGACGAGGATTTGAAGGCGTTTGTGGAGGCTGACCCATCCCAAACAGTTCGAGAGATTGCAGAAAAGCTAGGCGTTGGCAAATCCACTGTTGCGGATGGTCTGAAACGCATTGGGAAGGTGAAAAAACTCGACAAGTGGGTGAGTGACCGGCAGAAATTGGCACGTCTCGAGGTTTCTTCT